GCACTGAATTCCATTGTTCCACGACTCTATACCTAAACCCACATCATAACATGCTACACGTTAGAGTAGGTGGTTAGATATATTGGACAGTCTCATTCTCAACCCGTACAGGAGCGAGTAGAGAAGAGAAAATGTGAGAAATGAGTTCCTAGTTATGAAATGCAGGTACAGGTGAGAACAGAGAACAAGCCCAAAAATAGATACAACGTGGCGAAGGAAACTTTATTTCACTAAACTCCTTTCACAAAACTATAAGCACGTTTCGCTAACGAAAAAGCATATCAGCCTAAAACAACAAAGTTAGAAGACCGTCGACTTAGAAAAAAATTATTTAAATAATAAAGTACAAAACCAAGTAACAGACTACAATTTAAGTTAAAATACTCGGTTTCAAAAACTTATTAACTTCTGATAACCCGTTCAAAAAAATAAGTTTATCGGTTTCCTGACGTTACTCAAGGAAATCTAAATAAAAAGCTGGAACTTTTTAGTATACCAAAATCCTCTACTCGTACCCCTCATTAATAAGCATCTATGCCAAAATGTTTAGCAGCTCAAACACTCAAAAGATACTCCTAAAAACGATTTCAATGGATATCATAAAAAACTAGGTAAATTTTACAATTTCAATAAAGGTCTAAATATTAATTTTCTGCATTACTGGGTCTTGTGGTCTCAAACGTTGGAAAAGGGAGAAAAACACAATTATTTTGTAACACTTACCTGCAAAGAACCAGCAGAGCCTTGTAATTTTTCAAACAGCTGTACGCAAATAGCTCGGAATCCCGCAACTTTTTGTTTTAAAGAGCTTAATTCCTGATTAACGTAGCGACTAGCATTTAAAAGATCATTTGATGCACTAACGTTAGGCTGAAAGAGCTAGAATTAATTTGGAAAGAAACGAAAAACGGAGTCCAACGGTTACAATTCTGAAATGAAACTAATAATTAACTAAGAGGACCAGATGATATGATCTGTCCGTTTGTTGATCATCCCCTCCAACAGCATCAAAGGCTGCCATTTTGCGCTCCACCTCTTTGCGAACTGATAACTCCATTTCGTTTTGCTGTTTGGAAAGAGCAGCGTCAAGATACTTTGCCATTTTCTCACTCTACAAAATTTAACTAAAGATAACTTACAATTTGTCGCTCACGACAAATTATGTCCAAGAAAAGGCTACCTCTAGCCTTCAGTTAAACCGAGAAAACAACATCATTTACAACTATAAAAATACTGCTTCAACAACAATTTGCTCCATTGCATCCTACCTTTTTAAAAACTTTCGTCATGTTTACTTCTGAAACCTCATCATCTGTAGAGAAAGCAGCACTTGATGTACTTGGATCATCAAAGCTACCACTTCCAGTAGCCAATTCAATAGCCTTATCCCTAATCCTTACGTTTTTTTCATCGATCTGTAATTAAAGAAACTGTTCTGGAAAGTTTTGTACAAGGACAAAAAACCAACGAAAATGAAAACTAAACGGAAATTGGAAAATCACTTAATCCACCGCTGTTCAGTAAAAAAAAGAAAAACGCTGGTAAAATAAGATACCCAATCGCTCCGCCTATCCTAATGAATCGCTAATTATTAAAAAAATTTACTCAGAAAGCAGCAAACCTTTTGCACTTGGTGAAGAATCCCAACCAAGTCAGGCACAATTTCTGACGCAGTATGCAAAATTGCTTCCTGGGCGAGCTTTAAACGGAAGATTTAGTTTAAGAGTACGAAAAGTTTAAAAGCAACTTCTCTTAGAAATTGTCACGAGCTAT